TAACTGATCCTGCCGTCGGCAGGGAACTCCTCCATGTCTGTCCCGGAAAGCGTGCCTAGACGTGAGTTAGGGCCAGGTCGGCCTCGGGGCGAGGGTCCTCTCCGCGTGCAGACCGACCGGCGCGCAGCCGGTCGGACGCTGTTGCCCTGTTTGTGGTTCTGCCCTCGTCAGGGTTGGAGCGAGCCGTGCTGAGCCCCCTGTTTGCTCCCCGGTTTGTGTCGTGGGGTGTGAGTGTGTCACACTGCAGGCTTCCTGTCCTGTGTCCCCTGACGTGGGCCTGCATCCGTCGGTGGCACTGCCGCACGCATACCGGTCCCCGACACCCCTGAGTGTCACCTGACCTCCGTTCCGCTCTGGTACTGCCTCGTGGAGATGGCAGATACCCCGGAAGGCGGGGACTCGGCCCCCCGGGCTGCTCCATTGCTGACGCCTGTCCCCAATCCCAGGTTGTCACCGCGGCACTGAGCGACTGCCGCGGACCCCAGGGGTTCGCACACCCCTCCTTGGGGAGGATAGAGCTGCACGGTCGGGGGAAGAGGCACACGGGGTGAGCGCTGGGAGGGTCCCGGGCACCGGACGCCCCCCCACCCCCCGTGCCCAGACGCGTCCCACACCCGGAAACTCTGCGCCCTCGTCTTTACTTCCACGTGGGCCTCCCCGTGTCGCCCCGAAGCATCACAATCCCGGTGTCCAGTCGCCGCCTCCACAGGGGTGGCACGGGGCTGCACGTCCCCAGCGTCTCGGCGTCTCGGCCTTCCTGCTGCCCAGGGCCACCTCGTTAGGACGGCAGGAGGACCTGTCAGCCCGCACAGCCCGCGGGAGTCAGGAGCTCTGGGTCCGGAACCGCAGGGAAAGACCCAGTGTCCGAACAGGGGATCCGAGCACCCCCGTCCCACAGGGAAGTAGGAGGGTCTCAGACTCGCTGTGCCGGGAGGCGGAGCAGAGACCAGGGTTGGTGTTTGTTACGTCGCCCACGACGGCGTAGTGGATGCTGTGTACGAGGACCCCGGCCCGAGAGGCCACGGGCGGCCCGATGCCCCTTACGCTGCGTTCTGGGAGCGGGAGCCACGGGCGTGCAGACGGGCTTGCTGGGTGTGCAGAGTTAGGTACGCGGGCATCGGCCAGGACACGCCCCTCCTTGCGGTGGGGCAGACGCACGGTTTAGGCATCAGCGTGCAGTCTGCAAGGAGGAGATCCTTCTGTGTGCGCGCTCTGTAAAACCGATAGAAAGCTAAATCTCACGATGCTGCACTGCCCTGCAGGGACGATTTGTCCTTCTGTGCAAGCTCTGCTTTTCTGGGTCTTGCGTGGAAGCGCTCACGTTTCCCGTGCACTTCAGGAGATTAACCACATGTCCTGAATGGCAACGTAGGGCACCACCAAAGCCTTCCAGCTGTCAGATGGTTGGGACCCGGGTCTGCCGGCACATCCTGGGGACTCGCCCACGGAGGGCCCCTTTACGGGACGGTGCCGAGAGCCTCGTGTGTGTGGACCCCTTCGGGGACCGGCGTGTGGAGCCACAAGGGGCCACGGTGCCGTCACCACCAGTCCTGCCCGCTGTGAGTGTCCACACACGCGCATGACCACCGCCCAGAGCGTGGCGCCCCGTGTTCCTGGCTCCCCGGGGGTTCTCTTCGGCCCACTCCCGGTCACTGCTCCAGGTCAGCAGCCCGTGCTCTGGCTGGTGTCCTGGTTCGCCTGTCACGACTCGGGCACGGGTGTCCTCCCGCGCAGCGCAGCGTCCGTGAAAGTCTTCCACACCAGCGTGGGGCGCTGCTCTGTCGCTTGTGCCCAAAACACGTGCGTGGTTGTGATGGCCACAGCTTATTCCGCGATGTGGCCCCAAACCGCCACCCTCAGAGGGCGTGGATCTGCCCGTGTTCGTTCAGCGCTGTGCTCGTGGACGCCCGGGCGCTTGCATCGGGGACATCCTGAGGAAGGCCGCTGCGCACCTTCTCAGCTGCGTCCTGTGGGAGCGAGCGTCGGGTCTCGGGTCCTCCCGGAGGACGGCGTGTGGCCTGAGGGACTGCGTGGCCGCTCTCCGTCCACCCTGCCCGGCGGATCTCCAGGGCAGCCACACCACTTCCTCTTCCTGCGTCGACCCTGCCCGGTGGTCTGTCCCCCAGCTGCACGGAAGCTCCGTCTCTCGCGTCCTGGCCGACACGCGGACTTGGATTCGTTCCCGCGGGCGGTTCCGGTCTTTCCGTGCACACGTGTTTGCACGTCCGTCGTGAGCGCGGATGCTGACCACGTTTCACAGCCAGCGGGCGTCTGTGCGCTCTGTGTCCGTCTGTAGCTCTCCCGGGCTGCGTGCGTGTTCCTCCTCGACCTGCCGGACTTTAACACCGCGCCCGCGGGTGCTCGTTGCGCTGGGCCCGGGTCAGGGTCTGAGCTTGTTTTCCCCGTCCGCACAGCAGCTTCCCACGGGAGGCGCTCCAGCGAGGGCGGCCTCGCTCTCCCTTCGCGACCGAAGGTTCTGTGTCCTGCGGGAGGGACGTCTGCTGCCGCGAAGTCAGGAGCGGCGTCTGTCCCCTCCTCCTGCAGAAGAGCGTCTGTCCCGGGCCAGGTCCCGTTCATGGCCAGGACGCGTCGTGCGTTGACCGTCGTGGCCAGTGGAAGAAGGTTCCCCACCGTGCAGTGCCCTCGCTGAGAGCGCACGTGTTCCCCCGGAACGGCAAGCCTCCCTTTGTCGCGACTCGCTCGACGGGCTCAGGCTCCCTCCTCACGGTTCCCTGCTGGAGTCCGTCTGTCCCTCCGCGCCCACGCGCGCCAAGACTTTGCGGACGTCACTCTGCAGTCGGCCTTCAAAACCGTTGCTCCCCGTGGGACTTCTGAGTGAGCTTTTGTCTTTGCACCGACGCCGTGCCGCGTGTCACTGCGGGGCTGGGATTCCGGCGGGCGCTGGGATTTGCGGCTCATACGGGATCCGGTGTTGGGGCTCAGCCCGCGTCTTCAACGTCTCCCGGACGTGCTGTGCGGTTGGCTCCCTGCAGATGCCCCGGTGCTGGTTGGATTTGACGGGTTTCCTTGTACTTTACGTCACGGAGCTGCTAGACATTTCTTTTCTTTTCTTTTTTTAAGATTTTATTTATTTATTTATTTGACAGAGATCACAAGCAGGCAGAGAGGCAAGCAGAGAGAGTGGAAGGGAAGCAGGCTCCCTGGAGAGCAGAGAGCCCGATGTGGGGCTCGATCCCAGGACCCTGAGATCATGACCTGAGCGGAAGGCAGAGGCTTAACCCACTGAGCCACCCGGGCGCCCCAAAGATTTCTTTTGGTAACGGTGGATGGCGCGTTCGGATAGAATTGCCTCCCACAGACCGTGCTTCCTCTGGCGACGTGGCGGGAGTTACCCGTCGCAGCGGCCTGTGAGTCCCCGGTGGTCTGCAGTGTGTTCCAGCTCTGCGTTACGACAGCTTCGCGTCCTCCTCTTGGGCCCTCGGACCATCCTGTGTCTCTCCTGCCCCTGCTCCGTGGCTGGGCACGGACGGGGCTCGTGCTGCCCGTGCCTGGGTCCTAGCTCGGACACTCGGGCGTCGTGTGCCACCCTTGTCTGTGCTGTGAGCCGTGGCAGTTCTGTGGAAAGCCTTGGCTAACATGAGGTGTTCTGGGGCGCCCGGCGGGCTCACTTGGTGGAGCACGTGCGTCTTGATCTCTGGGCTCTGCGTTTGAGGCCCATCCTAGGTGCACAGATTATTTTTAAAAATTAAAAAAAAAACTTTTTTGAATAATAAGGCATTTCCGTCTGTTCTCGGTTTCCAGGTCTGTTATTTCTTAGTTACTATTTCCTTGGTGGCCGGATTCAGCGTGCTGCCCTGTGTCCCGTGCGGGATTCCTGCGTCCGAGTCCCGTGCGGGATTCCTGCGTCCGAGTCCCGTGCGGGATTCCTGCGTCCTTTGCTGACGAGGACCGGCCGGCCCATGGTCTCCGTGCACCCGTGGCAGAGTTCAGCATCTGCTCTTGGCCTCGTGACAAGAAATAGGAGAAGTTCCTTGTTTAGCCCCTGAAAGGGCTTCTATGTACCCGGAACGATTTCCTCGAACTGTGTGAACGGATTTCCTAGGGAGCCGCTGGGTCTGCGCCGTTCCTGGGGAAGTTTTCCAGATTCAGCTTCCCGCGGGCGTACGGCTCTGTGCGTGTTCTTGGTGCTGTCCCTTCGGGTGCGGTTAAGCCTTGATCGGGTGGCGTGTGCCGGTCACGGTGCTGTGGCACGTGTGGGCATGAAGGAGCGGAGCGTCCACTTCCCGCGTCCCTCACGTGTGTGGGGTCGCGGGGACGGCTCCCGTTGGTGACTCCTGTTCTCCGTGTGTTGCTCGTGGCCACTGCTGCGGACGCCTGCTGGGTTTTTTAGGTCTTCAAAGAGCCGACTTCCGAGTCCGCTGATTTACTGTACGAGCATGTGCGTTCTTGTACGTTCACGTGCGCCCGGCGGCGTTCTTTCTGTCCCGCATTGGAGGTAGGGGCTCGGCACACGTGCTGACGCCCCGCTCTGTGCTCGCGTGCCGACGTTCCGATGGCCGGGATTTTCCGTGTCGCGTCACGCGCCCTCCCTCATTGATGCCGTCGGTTCCCTCCCCGCGGGGATCATGAGCTGCTGCTGGACTCGCACACTCGGGGACCCACTGGCCGCCTGCTGCTGGACTGGGTGCCGGGCAGGGCGTGGGCTGTTTCCGTCCCCGAGCTGCGTTCCTGTCACCTGAAGTGACAGCGGCACAAGGACTTCTTGCTCTCCCTGGAGCGCGGGAAGGAACGCACGTTTTGCGTTCGGACGAACGCTGAGCTCCCCTGTGCGGGGTCGCTGGGCTCGGAAGTCCGGCCATCTGCAGGGAGAGTTGCTGCGAAATCCCTGCGGGAGCGTGAGGCCGCGGTAGCTGGGTTTGGAGGTCCGGCCGTCTGCAGGGAGAGTCGCTGCGAAATCCACGCGGGAGCGTGCGGCCGCGGTAGCGGCCATGGGGGTCCGGGAGGCGCTGACGGCCGGCCCGCTGTGCCCTCTGCTGCAGGCCTGTGGCTGCCCGCTCTACTGGAAGGGGCCGCTGTTCTGCAGTGCCGGGGGAGAGCGCACGGGAGCCGTCTCTGTCCACAAGTTCATCGCCATGTGGAGAAAGTGAGTCTCGGGCCTGCACGCTGGGGGCGGGTGCCGGGAGGGGAGGCGTGTCCCCAGCCCTGCCTGTCCCGGGGCAGCTGCCGCCTCACGGGCTCACGCTGCTGTGGCCGAGACGGCGGGAGGATGGAGCTGAGCCCCAGGGCACGTGGCTGGGTACCTGTCCCCTCCCGGGCCAGAGCGTGATCACGCTCGTCATGGGCCCGTGCCCGCCCCTGTCACCCGTGTTGGGAGCGGCCTCGCGGGTCTGGTGCGTAGGCGCCGTTGGGACGTCCTCCGCCCTTGCAGGGTCCTCCAGAACTGTCACGACGACGCGGCCAAGTTCGTCCACCTGCTCATGAGTCCCGGCGCGAACTACCTGGTGCAGGAGGACTTCATCCCCTTCTTACAGGTGTGCCTGCGTCTGCGCCGCATGCCGCTCCCCTCCTCTGGGCCCTTCCCCGTCTGCACCATACAGAAGCCAGAGGTCGGGCTCCCTCCCCTCAGTCCTGCTTCCCACAGAGGTGGCTCGGGGACCAGCGCCTCGTGAGTGTGATGGGACCACGTGTGCCACACAGCGTAGGTGTGTGTGAGTGGAAGGACACCATGTGCCACGCGGTGCAGGTGTGTGTGAGCGGAGGGGCCACGTGTGCCACGCGGTGCAGGTGTGTGTGAGTGGAGGTGCCACGTGTGCCACGCGGTGTAGGTGTGTGTGAGCAGAGGGGCCGCGTGTGCCACGCAGTGTAGGTGTGTGAGCGGAGGGACTCCATGTGCCACGCGGTGCAGGTGTGTATGAGCGGAGGGGCCATGTGTGCCACGCGGTGTAGGTGTGTGAGTGGGAGGACTCCATGTGCCACGCAGTGCAGGTGTGTGTGAGTGAAGGGACCCTGTGTGCCACGCGGTGCAGGTGTGTGTGAGCCGAGGGGCCGCGTGTGCCACGCAGTGTAGGTGTGTGAGCGGAGGGACTCCATGTGCCACGCGGTGCAGGTGTGTATGAGCGGAGGGACTCCATGTGCCACGCGGTGCAGGTGTGTGAGCGGAAGGACTCCATGTGCCACGCGGTGCAGGTGTGTGTGAGCGGAGGGGCCACGTGTGCCACGCGGTGCAGGTGTGTGAGTGGGAGGACTCCATGTACCACGCAGTGCGGGTGTGTGTGAGCCGAGGGGCCGCGTGTGCCACGCAGTGTAGGTGCGTGAGCGGAGGGGCCCCGTGCAGCTTCAGAGCATGAGGCCACAGAGACCAGGGGACTGCAGCCCCTGGCTGTGTCATCTGATGCGTTAAAAGAAGGTGTGGCGTTCCGGAACATTCTGTGCCTCCCTTCAGGCCGAGGGCATCGTTGCAGAGACGGAGAGAGCGTGGAGGATGGACGGTTCTTTTGTCCTCAGATCGTCTGTGCCACTGTTCTGAGTGCCAGGGTTATTCCAGCACATGTGACCTAAAGGCCATGTGACCGTAGCGCGTAAACCGAGGGCATTTAAACCTCCCTGGCGACCTCGGCGCGGGCCCTTGTGTCTTCACACGCGTTGAGTCCCGGTCAGCGGTCGGAGATCACGGGGCTCGCTGTCGTGGACCGGGGCCGTGCGGGTTTCACAGCCTCACTCCCCCGGGCTCTACCCTGTGAGCCGCCGTGGGGCCGGAGGGACCCGTGCGCAGCAGCCCCGTCCCTGGGGAGGTGGCAGGGGCTGGTGATGGACGCGGGGGCCCGTGCTCGGCAGGTGCCGTGCGAGTCCCCGAGTACCGTCTTGTGTTCCGTGTGCAGGACGTGGTGAACACGCACCCGGGCTTGGCCTTCCTGAAGGAGGCGTCCGAGTTCCACTCTCGCTACATCACTACCGTGAGTACACGGGTGCGGCCAGCTGCCTCGGGCCCTCATTCCAGCCCCAGCACCCACGGGAATGAGCGGCCTGGGCCTCGGGCCGTGGCCCATCTGGACCCCGATGTTCTCACCCATGAATAAGATGTTGGCCGCGCCTGACGAGCGGGGCTGAGCACGGGGTCTTGAGAGGCGGGTGGCCCGGGGCTGAGCCCGTGCGTCTGGACGTCTGTCGCCAGCACGGGGCGGGGGTGGGGGGGACGTCCCGGAGAGCCGTGTGCTCTCCCTTCCTGGGGGCTGCTGCCACTCAGCCTGGGACCCCGTCTGGGCTCTCGGGAACGCATGTGGCCGCGCTTCGGGCCATGAGGTTCAGACGCACTTGCGCCCACAGCCCAAGCGTCCGGCACGCGCAGAACGGGTGCCGCGGCCTCACCGTGCCCCGGCGCTCTGCTGACGGCCCTCCCTCCTGCAGGTGACACAGAGGATCTTCTACTCCGTCAACAGGTCCTGGTCGGGGAGGATCACGTGCGCAGAGCTCCGCAGGAGCACCTTCCTGCAGGTGGGCGGCCGGCCGGCGGGCACGTGGGCCTCCGTGCGTCCCCACCCCCGTCCGCCCGCCTTCCTGTCCGCCCTCCTCCGTCTTCAGTCCGCTGGTCCCTCCGCCACCCTCCGCCGTGGACCGTCCACCCCACCCTCTACACGTCCATCCACCCTCCACCCCACACCATCCGTCCTGCGTCCTCCGTCCTCCATTTGTCCTGCGTCCTCCGTCCTTCTCCATCTGTCCTGCGTCCTGTCTTCTGCTCTTTCCCGTCCGTTTTCCGTGTTCTCTCTTCCAGTCTCTTCCATTCCTTCTCCACCCTTTTGTTTCCACTTGTCTGTTCCCATTCTCCGTGCTCTTCTGCCGCGACCTTCCTCCCTGTCTCCTGTCCTTCTCTCTTGTTCTCTATCCCGTCTTCCACTCTCTTCCATCTGTCTTCCATCCGTCACCCGTTCGTGCCCCGCTCTCCATCCTTCCGTTCTCCACCCTCCTCTCTCCGTCTGTACCCATCGGCCCACCCATCCTGCAGGAGAAATGGCCCCTCGGCCGTGGGGAGCAAGGTGTCCTCTTCACTCAGGTTCGGAGCACACGTGGGCAGCCGCGAGGAGGGCGGCCGTCCGCCCACGTAAGGAGGCCCGAGGCTGTGAGAGGCTCGGCACTGGCAGGGCTGCCGCGTGTCGCCAGCAGTACGCGGGCTGAGTCTCGGGCGCAGCCCTGACGGCAGTGCGCTCCCAACCTGGGTGCTGTGCTCCCAGCCCCAGGTCTGGCTTGACCGGTTCTGGCTGTCCAGGGACACCTGGGAGGGCCCACCCGCAGGAGACCCAGCTGCCGTGACAAACAGTCCGTTGGGTTTCTTTTGGCAGAACGTGGCGCTCTTGGAAGAGGAAGCGGACATCAATCAGCTGACAGAGTACTTCTCCTACGAGCACTTCTATGTCATTTACTGCAAGTTCTGGGAGCTGGACACGGACCACGACCTTCTCATCGATTCCCAGGACCTGGCCCGGCACAATGACCACGGTGAGTGTGCGGCCTGTGTGGGACAAGGGGACCGACGAGAGCCGGCCCCTCAGGCGCCCCGCCCTGTCCACTACCACCGGCCATGGCCAGCTCCCCGGGCCTGCGGCCCAATGTCTAAAACTGCCTTCCCCGGCCTCCGGGAGTGGACTGCTCCTGCAGGACGTACATACGGGAGACGCAGGCTGCACACGCCCGAGACACGAGGGACAGGGACACACGTGGGACGTGCAGGACACACAAGATGGGGACAGACAGGGGTCACGGTACCCACGGGAGACGGAAGCACGCGCGCGAGGTGCTGACCCGCCTGCATGAGGAGGCTCCGGCTGTGCGAGCGCTGGTGCCGCGGGGTTGCCTGTGGCTGAGGTGCTGAGGCTGGGGTGCGACCCTGCCTGCGTGGTATGACAGGAAGGCAGGCGGAGGAGGTCAGAGCTGACGCCGTCCCGTGCTGCCCAGAGGCAGGTCTCCGTGGAGGAGCCGTGTGTTCAGTGTTTGCATGTGTGCATCCGGGCGAGCGGTCCCGGTCTCTGCGGCTGCTGTGACGGGGGCCCAAGGGTCAGCAGAGGATCCTCAGAGCATCCGGAGTCGAGGACTTGGCGCACCGTGTCCCGGGAGGGTTGTACGGGAGTTTGCGGAAGGGCTTCAAGCAGTGACCACAGCCCGGGCCTCCCGCAGCAGGAACGCGCCCTCCCCCAGCTCTGGGGACCAGAGGCTGAGATCCAGGCGGGGCAGGGCCGTGTCCCAGGGGAGGGTCCTGCCAGCTTCTGGGGCTCCAGGCGTCCCTGGGCCTGTGGACGCTGCCCTCCCGTCTCTGCCTCCGTCTTCCCCTGGCTTCTCCTCCGTGTCTCTGTCTCCTCCTACAAGAGACGCTGGATTTAGGGCCTCCCTGATGCCGGATGGGGTCATCTCAGGGCTTTCTCTGAATGACATCAGCAAAGACCTGTTTCCATTCAAGGCCGCACGTCCGCGTCCCAGCAGTCAGGATTAGGACGTGGTTTTCTGGGGAGGCACAATTCAGCCTGTTGTGACCCCCAGTCATTTTGTATCCGGGTGACATCCATTACGGTGTAGGATGAGGTGGGAGATGTGGAAAGAGACGGTCTTCGCTCCTCCCTCGTGTGGGTGCCGGGCTTGGTGTGCGCCGAGCTGTGTCCCTCCAGAATTGACTCGCTGGAGGCGCGTTCTCCGGGTCTCCACAACGGGACCGGAAGTGCCAGTGGGGTCTTTAAAGAGGTGATTACGGTAAAACGAGGTCAGTAGGTGGCCCTGATCTCCTAGCGCGGGGGTCTCACAAGAAGAGGGGATGGGGACACACACACACACGGAGGGACGATCGCGTGAGGACACGGGGAGCACCCGGGGTCTGCACGGCCCGGAGCGAGGCCTCGGGAGAGCCCGCCTCGGCCCCGCCTGGGTCTCGGACTCCGCGCCGCCCGGGACGAGGGGAAGATAAGCCTGTGTTGTCTGAGCCGCCCCGTCGGGGTGCTCTGTGACGGCTGCGCCAGCGGACCGACGCGGTGCTTCTCCCTTCGCGTTTGTCCGCTCGCACTTACACACATTTGCTGTGACCGCAAAGCGAGCGCGTGTCAGGCGGAGCGTCTGAGAGCGTGACTGCGCGTCACCCTGCCTCTGTCTCGGTGCCCCCAGGGCAGCTTCCACTCGGCCGCTCTGACTGGGCTCCTCGTGGGGACGGGAAAGCTGTGGGCGGCGCCCCGGGGGGGGACACACGCGGGACAGGAGGTTCCCTGGGTGCCGCCCCCCCAGGGCTGGGGCTCGGCGTCCCAGAGCCGACCTGCCCTGCCAGTCTTGAGCCCCGGCCGCGGGTGTGTGCGGGCGGCTCACGGCCTGACTCTGTCTCTGCAGCCATATCCACCAGGATGATCGAGAGGATATTTTCGGGGGCTGTGACGAGGTACGTCTCGAGGTCGTCGTCTCGTGGTTGTGGCCAGTGTCCTGTGCCTGAGTCCGGTTCTGTCTCACTCGTTCCATAATGTGAGCTGCTTGTCGAGGGCGAGTGCCGTTGTTACGGCAGGTCGTGAGGGGGACACGCGTGACAAGGACCTTGTCCCACAAGGTCATAAATAAGGGAGGATACGTGCTACTGTCACGTGAGGTCACAGGGGAGGACACCTTTGTCACAGGAGGTTATTACGAAGGGAGACACGTGCCATTGTCACGCAAGCTCGTAAGGGGAGACGCAGCTTTGTCATGTGATGTCACTGGGGGACACCCAGAGTCTGTCACACCAGACTGTAAATAAGGGAACACGCCTCTTTGTCACGTGAGGTCATGAGAACGGGGCAAACCCCATTCTTGCATGAGGTCATCAGTAACGGGTGGGGGAGGACCGGCCCCACGTTCATGGGTCATGTCAGGCCCTGGGCATCTGAGGGGGCCCGGGAGTAGGGGCATCGGAGGCCGTGAGGCAGCTGTGACTGAGGCCACAGAAGCCACCCCTGCCCCGTCTGCAGTCGCAGGGCAACCTCTGCAGGCCTTCCCCAAGCAGGAGCCCGGCGTGGGACAGGGCCAGGCGCAGGGAGGTGAGCGGGCTCTCTCACCTCACCTTCTCCTCCCGACGTATGTTCTGTCTGTTGGTCTCCACCCTGAACCCAGGGGCAGAAAAGTCCAGAAAGAAGGAAAAATAAGCTACGCGGACTTTGTTTGGTTTTTGATCTCTGAAGAAGACAAAAAAACTCCAACCAGGTACGTATTTGATGGCTGTCCCGGTACAGCAGTGGGAGGCCGAGGGCTAGCGGCTGTCCCTGAGCATGGGCGCCACCAGGGGTCCACCCAGGCAAGGCCGGTCCCAGGCAGGGTCCGCGCTGGGCAGGGCTGGCCTGGATGGCGTCCTCCCTGGGTGCAGTGAGGCCCAGTGGGTTCAGTCCGCAGCTGGCGCTGACCGCCTGTGACCGCAGCATCGAGTACTGGTTCCGCTGCATGGACCTGGATGGGGACGGCGCGCTGTCCATGTTTGAGCTGGAGTACTTCTATGAGGAGCAGTGCCGCAGGCTGGACAGCATGGCCATCGAGGCCCTGCCCTTCGAGGACTGCCTCTGCCAGATGCTGGACCTGGTGAAGCCGCAGAGCGAAGGTAATGTTCCTGGAGATGGAACGCCCCATGTGAGGGGATGACCCCTCATGAGGGAACGTAGCCATGTGAGGGGACCTGTCTGAGGTGGTTACTCACTGTGAGCTGCGATGTCCCCTCACGTGAGGGACGCGTCGTGTGAGGAGATGTACCCTCGTGATGGGATGTGCCCGTGTGAGGGGGACACATCATGTGAGATGTGCCCGTGTGAGGGGGACACATCATGTGAAATGTGTCCCTGTGTGAGGGGACACGTAATGTGAGGTGATCTCTACCCCCCGCCGTGAAATGTGATGCCCCCCCGCCCATGTGAGGGAATAGCCTCCTGTGTGAGGGGACATATCATGTGAGGTGATTTTTCCCCCCGTGAGCTATGATGCCCCCCATGTAATATGTTCCCCTTTGTGAGGGGACACATTGTGTGAGGTGGTTCCCCCATGTGAGATGTGATGCTGCCTCCGCCCATGTGACACATCCTCTTGTGTGAGGTGACATGTAATGTGAGATGATCTCCCCTCACCCCCATGAGATGTGATGCTCCCCCCATTTGAGGGGATGTCCTCCTGTGTGAGGGGACACATTGAGTGAGGTGGTTCCCCCTGTGAGCTGTGATGCCCCCTCATGTGAGACCTCCCCTTTGTGAGGGGACACATCATGTGAGGTGATTTCTCCTCCCCCATGAAATGTGATGCCTTATGTGAGGAGATGTCTCTCTGTGTGAGGAGACACCTTGTGTGAGGAGATGTGTGTGTGAGGTAACATGTCATGTGAGATGTCCCCATCTGAGGGGGCACGTAATGTGAGGTGATCTCCCTTCCCCCTCATGAGATGTGATGATGTGATGTCACCCCATGTGAGGGGATGTCCTCCTGTATGAGGGGACACATCATGAGGTGATTTTCCCTGTGAGATGCGATGCCCTCCCCCTTGTGAAATGTCCCCCTGTGTGAGATGTCCTCATGTAGGGGGGGACACATCCTTTGAGGTGATTGCCCTTCCCCCATGAAATGTAATGCCATGTGTGAGGAGATGTCTCCCTGTGTGAGGAGACAAAATGTGAGAGAATGTCCCTGTGTGAGGAGACACATAATGTGAGGTGATCTCCCCCCCTCCCCATGAGATGTGATGCTCTTCCGTGAGGGGATGTCCCTGTGTGAGGGGACATGTCTTGTGAAGTGATTTTCCCCTGTGAGCTGTGATGCCCCCTCATATGAGATGTTCCTCTTGTGAGGTGACACATCGTGTGAGGTGATTTTCCTCCTGTGAGATGTGATGCTGCCTCCCCCTATGTGAGAAGTCCTCTTGTGTGGAGAAATGTAATGTGAGGTGATGTCCCCCTCCCCATGAGATGTGATGTCCCCCTGTGTGAGGGGACATGTAATGTGAGGTGATCTCCCCTTGCCTCCGTGAGATGTGATGCTCCCCCCATTTGAGGGGATGTCCTCCTGTGTGAGGGGACACATTGAGTGAGGTGGTTCCCCCTGTGAGCTGTGATGCCCCCTCATGTGAGACCTCCCCTTTGTGAGGGGACACATCATGTGAGGTGATTTCTCCTCCCCCATGAAATGTGATGCCTTGTGTGAGATGTCCTATGTGAGGAGACAGGTTGTGTGAGATGTCCCCCTGTGTGAGAGGGCACGTAATGTGAGGTGATCTCCTTCCTCCGCCATAAGATGTGATATGTTACCCCATGTGAGGGGTTGTCCTCCTGTATGAGGGGACACATGAGATGCGATGCCCTCCCCCTTGTGAGATGTCCCCCTGTATGAGATGTCCTCGTGTGAGGGGGACACGTTGTGTGAGGTGATTTCCCTTCCCCCATGAAATGTAATGCCCTGTGTGGGGAGATGTCCCCCTGTGTGAGGAGACACAATGTGAGAGGATGTTCCTGTGTGAGGGTGACACCTCATGTGAGATGTCACCCTGTGTGAGGGGACACATAATATGAAGCGATCTCCCCCCTCCATGAGATGTGATGCTTCTCCGTGAGGGGATGTCCCTGTGTGAGGGGGACACATAATGTGAGGTGATCTCTATCCTCTGCCCCTGTGAGATGTGATGTGATGCCCTCCCAACGTGAGGGAATGTCCTTCTGTGTGAGGGGACACATCGTGTGAGGTGATTTCGCCCAGTGGCTGTGATGTCACCCCCCCCATATGAGATGTCCCCCTGTGTAAGGGGGTACCCAAGGAGACATTCCCGTGGTATTGTGTCCCTACCTGCGTGAGGGTAAGTCCCCTCTGCAAGATGTGAGGGGCACCCCATGTGAGATGTGCTCGTGTGAGGGGATCCCCCCCATGTGAGATGTCCCCCTGTGGTACGCCCGCATGTAAGGGATACCCCGTGTGATGGGATGTTCTTCCTGTAAGATGGGATGCCTCTGGGTGAGGGCACATTTCCCTTAAGTGAGGGGATTCCCTCATATAAGGAGATGTGCCCATGTGAGGTGTGATACCCCGTGTGAGAGACACCCTTGTGAAGGGACACGCACTCAGGAAATGAACATCCCTACTCTGAGTTGGTGACGGGGGTGATGGGGAGGTCTGGTACCAACCATATTGTCCCAAGACCCCACTCAGGACTGGCTGAGCTGGTGTCACGTGTGACATGAGCACCCTTGTTTACCGGTGGTGGCCACTGGTGGGTGTGGAGACAACACAGTGTGTCCCGGCTGTCTCCTGTGTCCTTCAGGCCCCATGTGTCCCGCCTGGGCTCTCACCCGTGCTGAGGGCCCTGTCCTGTTGGGCGAGCATACCGGTTCTGCCAGGGTCAGGAAGGCAGATGTCCCTGACCCCACATCTCCCTGGATTCCCACCTTAGGGACCTCAAGCCCAAGTTCCTGGTGTGGGGTGGTGCCATGGGCACCTGTCCCCTTCTCCTCCCCCTCCTAGGGTCCTACCTGGGATCCTCCTGGCACCCCTCAGCTGAGAAGCCTGTGTCCAGGGAGAGGCCAACTGTGCCACAAGGAGGGACCCCAGGACACTTCAGAGGTCAAAGGGACAGAGGGAGACTTTTCCCAAACTGTGATACCTCGATTAGTGTTGTTTCCACGCTGTGGGATCCTGGTCGGGGGGTATTTATGGTCTTTGAGAGTCGTTCTGGGCCATCACATCCAGGTCCTCCTCCCTAGCGGTGGCTTTCCTCCTGTCCTCCTGTCCCGCTCCATGATGTGTGCCTGGGTGCCCCCTGCTGGCCAGAGACTGTTCCTGCACTCCGCGTCCTTGTCTGTCTTCTGACCCGTTCGGGGGTACACGGGGACCCCCGGCTTCTGGTCCGCACCGCTCCCCAACCTAGCCTCCCGCCCACACAGGAACCACCTCGTGCGGCCGCCTTAGGCCCAGTTGGGCAGAAAACGCGGTATCGCGCCACGTTCTCTGAGCCGCGTCAGACGCCGGTTAGCGCGAGTCCTTCTGGGACTAATCGTCTGAACCGTCTCGTGTCCTGCAGGGAAGATCACCCTCCGGGACCTGAAGAAGTGTAAACTCGCCAACGTGTTCTTTGACACCTTCTTCAACATCGAGAAGTACCTCGACCACGAGCAGAAGGAACAGGTCTCCTTGCTCAGGGTGAGTGTGGCGAGGAGCACGTGGGGTGCCGGCCGCGTCCGCGCCGCGTGACACACGTGTTTTGTCCAGGAGAGTGACAGCGAAGGCCCTGAGCTGTCCGACTGGGAGAAGTATGCGGCCGAGGAGTACGACATCTTGGTGGCCGAGGAGGCTGCAGGGGAGCCGTGGGAGGACGGGTGAGTGTGGGACAGGACGTGGGGACGGCCAGGAGGGACGCGGGTGGTAGGTGGGCAGTGGGCGCCTCCCTTCCCGTGTCCACCTGACTCCCAACGGGCTCAGGCCGGAGACGGTGGCTCGTGGCGGCTGCCTGCCCTCTTCCTTCGGGCGGCGGTGGCATTCACGGGACAAGCGTGGGCAGCTCTGGGTGGGGAGGAGAAGGTGCTGCTGGGTGTCCTGAGTCCCGCAGGAAACCCACACACGCCCTGCTGCGGCCTATGCGCGGGCCCGGCCCCAGAGGGGCTCTGAGAGGCCCCTTCCCGGGGACCCGGGGGCTGCCGAGCCAGGCCCCAAGTGTGCAGAAACCCCAGAACCCTCGCTGCGAGAGCAGGGGCGCCCGGCCCCGGCCTGTCCCGGGCTCCTCCGTCCGCCCCTTTCCCGGACACAGATTTGGAGGTGCTGCTGCTCTGCTGCCCCCGAGAGCGGGGCCCAGGAGTCCAGCCAGCAGGGCCCGGGGCAGGCCGTGCCGTCAGGCTGCGTGAGGCCTACGGCCCCGAGCCCGGCCCGGCCCCATACCCCTGCTAACAGCCCTCCTGCCCACGTGCTCCCCCGGCTCCCTGCCCGCATCATGGCCGGCTCCCTTCTGTCCCGAGCCTTGGGTCACCGGGATCCCGGCTCATCTCATGGCCGGTCCGTTCCTCCCGCCAACTGCGGGGAATGCTCACAGCCCAGGGCTGGATCCTGGAGAGCCCGGCTTGGACGACGACCCAACAGCCCCCCCCGCCCCCCCCGCCAAGAGTCGCTGCGGCTGGGAACGTTGTCCTTGGTATTTGCTCGAAACCAATGCAGGGAGCCAGGCCTTGAGGCCCCTTTGCTGCCACCGTCCCCTCCCCCGTGACTGAGTGCATGTGGGATCGACGGGGGTTCCTTCTCCCAGGCCTGTGGCCCGTCCCAGTCCCCGTTCCACTCTCCAGGCCTGGGCCTTCAGGTGCGTACAAAGGCCTGGGTTCTGCGGTGGGGACGCAGGTGTCCCACACACTCCTGACGGGCGCTGGTCACACGCATGTTCTCCGGTGCCTGGGTGGGGGTCACGCAGGGTCAGGTGTGTTTGCACACGTGGAATACAGGCCTGGACTAGGTCTGGAGCCCATGGTAGGCGTCCCCTCCGCCCTCAGGAACGGGACCTCCATGCAGGAGCTCTGGGTCTGGTGGCACAGGGCTGCCTGCTTGGGGGTCCCAACCCCCAGCTCCAAGAGGATCTCAAAACGGCAGGGGACACTTGGAGCGATCCCGGGCCCTCCCCACCCAGGTTCGGGGCAGGGGCTGGGCTGGGCTTCGCCTGGCAGTTGTGGTTTTCCTGGACCCCGCAGAGGCGGGACCTGCCGTCCCGTCACACAGGCTGTGCCCGCGTAACCTGTCAGCGAGCCGCGGCTGTTGGTGGGCGCGTGGGGGACTCGTGTCCTGGCTGAGCAGTTTCCTGGCTCCAGGTGACCCCCTGCCAGGCCACAGGCGTTTGGCGGTTTCTCGTCTGCTTCTGGACAGATGTGAGTAGCGCCGCCGTGAACCTCTCCCACCCTGGCCTCGTGTGGACGTGGGTTCTCACGTCTCTGGGCTCCGTGCCCAAGGCCGCGGATCACGACGGGACACCTGTAGACCTTTGCAGAACCCGCGCAGTGACGTCCCACACGGCCGCCCTGGGGACGGTCCTCGCGGTCTGTGTGTGGCGGTTGATGGGTCAGCCCGTCCCGGGCGTGGCCCCTTGTGCCCGTTGTGTGTTTGCGTCCTGGCCGCTGTCGGTCCCCCCGGGGTGTGCTGGGTCTTTGCGCTTCTGTGCGTTGGGCCGTCCGCTCTCTCACTGAGGCTTCAGGGCTCCGGGTGCGAGTTCTGTCGGATCCATGACTGACTTTCCCTCTGCACTCGCGGCCCTGTTTGTTGGAATGTGTGTCCCAGACGCTGCTCACGCGGATGAGGTGTTTTTTTTTTTAAGATTTTATTTATTTGACGCAGAGAGATAGAGAGAGGGAAGCAGGCTCCCCGCGGATGAGGTTTTAAGTCCCCGTCCGCTGCCGCCTTGGACTATGCCTCTGGTGTCCGGGTCACACTCTGGTGTCCGGGTCACACTCTGCTGGCCTTGCCCAAACCCACGGCGACCTGGCCCACGATTCAGGGCTTCCCGGTCCACATCCCGGTCTGTGGCCTGTGCTGAGTTGCCGTGGGGCCTGAGCGGAGGGTCCAGGTTCCTCCCCCGGTGCTGGGGCTCCGTCTGGGGCGGAACCAGCCACGGGGCCAGCACGTGTGTTTACAGTGAGGCGTGCGCGAGCCAGGTCTCCCGAACGTACCAGGTCTGTTCGCGTTTCCGCAGGAGTCGTGGAATCTGCGTGTGGCTCTCTGGGTGAGGCCCGCGCGCCCAGGGCGGGGTCTCGGGTGGAGGTTGGAGAACAGACTCCCCGGCCCTGCTGGCGGGGCGGGGGGGGGGGCTGTTTTCGGACCTGTCTGTGCTCTTCACTAGCCACCCCTACCAGGGTTGCGTTTGTGGCTCCGCTGAGACTCGGCGATCCCTGGTCGGATCCCACCGGCGTTCCTTCTCCGGTCGTGCCGTCGGTTCCTCGGCTGATACGGCTAATTTCAGGATAAGCTTGTCCGTTTGTACAGAACAGCAGGGGAAGGTTCGATTTTTCCAAAATCCCTGGTGGTGTGGAGACGGCCGGTCTCGAAGGTGTCCTCACCCACCAGCGTGTCTCTGTGCTCGGGTCTCGGGCTCTTTGCCTGGACCTGTCTGTCCTTGGTCACGTAAGTGCTTCTTGACACGGGATATGACAAGGTTTAACCCTGAGGTCGTGGTCGTTCGTGGGAAGCGCGCACTGTCCTGGCGTATCGGTCTGCGGCGCGCACGTGTGTCCCACGCACCTGTCGGCTGCGGGGGCGTTTGCATCGGTTCTTTGGGACTCCGTGTGGACGGGCGCGTTGCCGGTGAGGACGCTTTCTTGTTCGCCGCCACGCTTCTAGAACATCCGCGACAGTGTGGGGAGCAAGGGGGCGCGTGTCCTCCTGTGGTTCCCAGTCCTGTGTGCAGACGGGTCGTTACCGACCCCAAGCTCTGATGTCGGCCCAGAACAAACCCCGCTCAGCGTCCAACCCCGTCCACAAACTTGATTTGTGGCCTCGTACCTCATGGCTCCGCGTCTCATGCTGGTGTCCAGGGAACACTGGCATCCGAGTGCGGGCACGCTCCTCCTCCGCCCTTCAGGAGGAAGGAACCCGCCAGGGACCGCTTTGGGCCTGGGGCTCCCACGCGGTAACCTCCCAGCCGACCGGGGGCTGCCGGCACTGTCCCGCCCCGACCGGGACGGCCCCTCTGTGCTCACCCTGTGCTCCTTGCAGGTACGAAGCCGAGCCCAGCCCCGTGGACCAGAAGCTGGGCTCCCTGAGGTCTCCGCTGGCCCAGAGGCCCTTCTTCGAGGCGCCGTCCACCTTGGGCACCGTCGACCTGTACGAGTACGTGTGTGAGGACGACGACCTACCGCCCGCGTGACCTGGGCCCAGAACTGGACGCAGAGCCGCTGTCATGTAAAGAACAGAACCGCTTGATCGCTGAGCTTTTATAGAAAATGAAGTAATTTGTATGGGATGAAAAGTTTTTATTTATCCAACACGGAAGCCGGTCCGGTGGTCATTGACCGTGTGTCCCCGCGTGTCCGGCAGGAGATGCCATCTGTCCGGAAGCCCCTGGCTGGGCCCGGCGGGGACAGACGTGCCGTGTAGGTCCTGAGTGTGGGTGTCTGGAGAGTCACCGGCTCGGCCGACCGTCTCCTCGGAGGGGAGCTACTGCTGCACTGGGGCAGCCCCGGGGGCGTGAGCCGTGCACCGACCCGCGGGTGTCGGACGGTCCTGCGCCGTTCTCACGCGTCGGTCAGGAACATTCCAGGGGCCCCGGGACCCTCCGTCCGTCCACAGGCGCGTCTCCGGGCGCCACCCCAGCTGCAGCCCTGCACGCGGGGTACGGGACGGAGCACGTCTCGTGCGTACTTACGTTTTCGTGTCAATGTACAAAACGTGTAAAGTTAACTTTTATTTGGTGTGTGGAGCAGTTTAAAAATGTTTTATGAGATCACGTCTATATTTTCGAATAAAGAACTTAAGGATTTTCTGTGAAGGGCTCGGCTCGCCCAGCCCACGACACAGACACAGCACACAGAGATCACAAAGGGCACAGATGCCAGGCAGGGACGCTACTGGGGACAGACGGCAGTGACAGCACGGGAGACCACGCCGTGGGCATGGCTCTGGGGCACGGCAAGTCCAGCTGAGGGTCACGCGCCGTGGGGCCCGGAGTGTCTGTCACGGTGTCCCTCCTGCCGAGCCCTGCCCGCGGGCAACCCATGCTCTCCGGGCCGCCATCAAGGGCTATGCGTCCCCACAACAGCTGCCACGGTGCCGGGGAGGGGACAGCCAGAGGCACAGGTGTCCCTCCTGGACGGCAACCCGCCAGGCCCAGGTCTGCGCAGGCCTGAGCTCCCCAGGCCCACGTCTACACAGAAAACCCCCGGCCCAGGTCTACACAGGGTCCCCCGGGCCGGAGCTCCTGAGCCCATTCTCGCCCGGGCATGACCGGCCGGAGTCCTCCCCGTGGCCCAGCCTCGCTCTCCGTGTCCACTCGGGGCGTCCTCGTGCACACCGTGGCCCAGAGAGCTCGGTTTGGCACCAACGCGGATCGGAGGCGCGGAGCCCCCAGCACGTCGGGGTCGGCCAATGCGCGTCCTGCCCAGCCCGCGTCGGACGCAGCCAGTGTGTCCGAGCGTGCGGGGGTGGAGCCGACCACCGGCCGCGGGCTCTCGGCAACAGACGCCGGGAATCGCCCAGCCGCGGCGTCCTGAGCCGGGAAAGGAAGCGCGGACGGTCCGGCCAGAGCCACGCCACACAGGAGCACGCCCGCCGGGGGGGCCGGCACCGTGGTCCACAGCGGGCGAGGCGGCTTCCGGGACCTTCCAGCCAAGCACAGGGGTCGCCAGAGAAGCCGCAGGCCGGTAGGCACCTGGTGGGTCGGTGGGGGGGGGGTGCGGGCACCCCAGGGTCCCAGTCCACGGTCACGTGACCTTCTCTCCTCACACACGGCTGGAGTGCGCAGGTGCGGGAGGCGGGGGTCACTGCCGTCCGCCTGGAGCCCCGGGGGTCTGCGTCAGCCACACCTGGACGCCACGGGCTCCCCAAGCCCAGGAACTCAAGTCGACCACCGAGGAGGAACTTGGAACTGCTGACCGAGTCCCAAGGCCCGAGTCCTCTTCAGTCCAACGCGCCCTGGGGACGGAGAGGACGACGCTCAGAACCCCAGACACGTGGACGGGAAGGTGGACAGCAGTGCACGCTGTGGCCCGGCTGGTTCCCACTCAGCGTGGGGTGGGAACACTGGTGGGCTGCGCAGTGGACGGAGGGCACCAAAGCTTGGCCAGGACGCGGGTGGGCGGGGGACACGGCCTTCTGTTGCCTGAGACCCCAGGCGGACGCACGGACCCTGGCCCCCGGTGTCCGGGGGGGGAACGGGGCTATCCACACGAGGCTGCTGTGCCAGAGCACCGCTCTGAGGAACGCACCAGACCCGCGGATCTTGGGGGCCAACAGGCAGGAGCCAGATGCCGAGGACCCCAGGGCGCCCTAAAACCCAGTGTCCTGAGCCAAGCAGGCCACGGATGGGCACCACACCCAGCCTCGGGGCCCCAGCACACCGCGGGAGCCTGGAGACACAGCCGGGCACCTGGGACGGCTCCGGGCCCTGCCTCCTCGCAACCCAGCAGCCTCGGACGGTCCACAGGCCGCATACCGGGTGAGCTGCCGGACCACAGCCGAATCCCACCACCCCCCGAACGTGCGGACGGACCTGCCTCCACCCCCAATGGGCACAGAGGCCAGTGTCACCCGGGAGACCCGTCAGATGGGATGTCCTGCCTTTACACCACCCTGAGAAGCGTGGGCCGTGGCAGGAAAGGCAGGCCCGGGCCACCGCCCCCACATGGCCCCCACCCACAGCCCCAGCCCGCACCAACCTCGTGGACGGAGATGCCCTCCACGTCCACGTCTTCGTTGGAAGAGTTCTCAGAGTCCTCCGATGACAGGAAGTCAACATCAAAGACGTCCCTGCTGGAGACCAAGATAGGGCCCCAGGCTACGGCAGGGGCCGTGGGAGCCCAGGCCCTGGAGGGAACAGGTGTGTATGGCCCCAGAAAACACAAGACACGGAGAGACATGGACGAGGAACAGCCCTAAGTCACAGGCAACCAGTAACACCTCTAACGCTGTCACATCCCACCCTGCGCGTGGGCAGTCGTGGACAGTCGTGGGCTGTGCTGGGCGGTTGGTGTGGGGGAGACGAGATGAGTCCCTGGCTACACCCTAGAGCATGACCTTACAGGACAGCAGTCTCTGCACGTGTGCCACACACGACCCTCTGCCTGCCTCAGACCCACACACACACGTCATTGCCTCAGACCCATGCGGACCGCCCCCACCTTCAGACCAGCCCCGTCCCTGTCTCAGACCCAAGTGGGACCCACGTCACCTCCTCAGACCCACGCAGGACCACGTCCCAGCCTCAGAACCATGTGGGACCCCCATCAGACCAGCATCCCTTCACGGCCATCCCAAGGCTCTGCTCGGGAGAAACCCATAAAGCTGACCCCGAAACCAGGCAGGCAGAGGCCTGACAGGCTGCCCACCGACGGCAGACCCCTGCACCCCAACCTGCAGTTCGAGGGCCTCACCTCTTGGACTTCTGGCCCTTGGAGGAATTCCGTGGCTCTCTGTCCCCCGCGCTGGAGCTGGCCAGGGTGTCTGGTGTCCAGGTGGAGCACGTCCCCACGGGCAACTCTGCAGGTGCCGGGTGTGGTCAGCTACGGGGCCCAAGGGCCACCCCTCCCAACCCCAGACACCCTTCCCACCTTGGGGCCGCTTGCTGTCTTTGCATATGGCGTCAAACGGGTTGGCGGCGGGCTCTTCCTCCCCCTGGGCCACGTAGTCTGTCCTTATCAGGGACTTGCGATAGACAAGCATGGGGTTCATGTCCCCTTCCCCAAACACAGGCAGGCCCTCGGGGATGGAGTCCTGGAAGTGGGTGAGTCTGCGGGCAAGGGAGCACGAGGCAGGGGGGGGGTCAGAGGACACCCAGCCCAGGTCCCCAGGAACCCATGGCCCCTGGCCCCCATGTTCAGGCTCAGGGCTGAGGCCCAAGGAACCGTGCTAGAGGAGCGCCACCTGGTGGCCACAGTCAGTGCTGCAGCCCAGAGCCCAGCGCCCCCCAGAACCCCAGACAGCGGCCCTGCTCAGTGCAAGGGCCCAGATAGGAGCCCTCACTCAGCAGAGAGCCTTCCGGTTTCCACGTCCCCCACCCCACCGGGCCACAGTCTGCGTTTCCACCCCTGCACCCCCAGAGCCCATCCCCACGCCGACCGTCCAGGGGTCCCCGTCCCGGGGGACCGGGGCACTCACGCAGCTTGTCGCTCTGCAGGGGGGATCTTGCAGGAGAACTCGGCCAGAACCAGCAGGAAGCTGAGGTTGGGGAACCTCTGCCGGGCCTCCTCCTCTTCAGGCACGGGGGACTCGGAAAAGGCAAACGCCAGCCCACGCCTGGGGACAGGGTGTGCAGTGGGGAGCTAGGGCGATGGGCAAAGGCAGACGGGGAACGGCTGGGGTGTCAAGTGGGGCTCACACGGGAAGTAGAAGGGTGGGGTCAGGTGAGGCTCAGGGCGCCAGGTGGGACTAAACTGAAGGATGGGGGCAAAACTGGGGAGCACAGTGTCAGGTGGGGTCAGACAGGGCATGGGGTCAGACTGGGGAGCACAGCGTCAGGTGGGGTCAGACCGGGGACGCAGTCACAGCAGGGAGCACAGCGTCAGGTGGGGTCAGACCGGGGATGGGGGTCTCAGCGGGGAGCACAGCGTCGGGTGGGGTCAGACCGGGGACAGGGTCACAGCAGGGAGCACAGCATCAAGTGGGGTCAGACCAGAGATGGGGTCATAGTGAGGAGCACAGCGTTAGGTGGGGTGAGACCGGGGATGGGGTCACAGCGGGGAGTACAGCGTCAGGTGGGGTCAGACCAGAGACAGGGTCAGACTGGGGAGCACAGTGTCAGGTGAGGTCAGGCCAGGGCTGGGGTGCGTAGGGTGTTGTCACAGCACCCCGTACGAGCAGGTACCTGTGGATCAGGTGGGCCGCGTCACGGGCACGGTCAAAGCCGAGGGTGAGCGCAAAGCGGCGTGCCAACAGCCGGATGGAGTAGAAGGGGCCGCAGATGAACTCGATGGGGTCGTAGCCCATGCCATACGTGTCCACGTGCTTCTGGAACAGCTGTAGGAGCACAGGGGCGGTGGAGTCAGGGCCACCAGGGGCATGTCCACGAACCAAGGTTCAGCACATCCCGAGATGCCTCCCTCCACCTCCCACCACCCCCCAGAGGTAAAACAGCACAGAGAAGGGACAAGTTCCTGGAGCACAGGGCCCCCGGCCGATGACATCCACGGGGGACAGGGCAGGGATCCTTGGGACAGCCACCTTGAGGCTGGGATGCCAGGGAGCGGGGAGCAGGTGGCACAGACCAAGACGCGCCCAGGAGCCAGGAGCCTGCAAACGTCCCGTGCACACCCGTACTGCCCACATCCCACCTGGTCAGCCGCAGCTCCTGTGTGTGTGTCAGACGCAACAGAAAACCCACGAGGGGACGGCGCTCCTGATTTACAGGGAAAGCACACACCAAATGGGACACAAGGGGGCTTGAGACGACAGGAAGGTGCCCCTGACGTGCCATGCTTGCTCTGGGGAATCAGGGTCGCCTCAGCGTCGTACACGCAGACCCGTTCTTGGGCCAGGAGGAGGGAGGCCGTTTCCAAAGGAACAGAAAACGGCAGCAAACAGTCCAACCTAAAGGCAGACCTCAGTGTTGGGGCCAAGAGTCCGCATGGCCTGTGGAATCGGGACCGAGAAGCCGTGTTCCAGGAAAACCACGGGACAGAGATGGTCTAGCAAGTGTCCCCGGAGAGGCCTGGCCACCGCACCCACAGGCAGAATGGACACAAGGACCAGGAACCCACACTGGCAGCGGGGATGCCAGATCCCGGCCCTTCCTGATACACCCACGGAGGCTCAGCTCCCCAGAGAGAGATGAGTCCACGGCGCCCACGGCACCACGGACACTGGCAACAGTCAGCTGTGTAGGGAGCCGTGACCCCAGCACTGCGGACCAAAGGCAGGCCTTGCAAAGAGCTCAAGCCGGTGGGCAGCCCCAGACTCAGTGCACAAAGCCAGGATCGGGCAGAGAAGGGACAGAAGACATCGAGTCCCGGGTCGCCGCTGCCACGGAACCCCACACGGGCTCGGCGAGAACTCCCCACATGTGGACGGAGACCCCAACTACAGGCAGATACACTCGTCTGGCAGCACAACAGAGCACGGACAAGCCACGTGTCCAGTTGTGGTTCCATGGATCTGGGTGAACCAGCTGCCACGGGGATGGAAGGACCAGAGTCAGACACGGGACACGCACTCACTCGGTATCATGACAGACTGATGTGGAGAAGGCAGACGCCCACCCTCAGGATCAGTGGATGGTGGGGGGGTGGACACCGCCCTGAGGGTCAGCAGGTGGGGGGGGACGTCCACCCTGAGGGTCAGTTGATGCGGGAGGGGGACACCACCCTGAGAGTCGGGGACAACCCGAATGACCATCAGGAGACCTAGCTCACTGTGCAAGACGACACCTGAAGGCCTCCAGGGGACAGTCCAGCCCGATGCTGGAGCCCAGCCGCTCCGTGCACAAGAGGACGGAGTTACACCGTCCACCTAAGCAGCCCTGGGCACACACCACGAGCTGCCGTGTGTCCCCACAACACACCCCTGACCACGTCCAGTCCTTGAGCAGCAGGGGAACCCATCCCAACAGTGCCATCACCGGGAGGTGGGCAGAGCACAGAAGCCAGCTGTGCGGGACTGAACGTCCGTGGGCTCTGCCCCCAAAGTCCACAGGTGTAAGCCGGGCCTCCTGGGGGCTGCTGGGGTGGTGGGGGCCCTGGAAGGTGGTTGGGAGCCCAGAGGGCCAGCATGGCGGGGCCCCCACGGTGGGGTCTCGTCCTCTTGCATGTCCAGAGAGAGGTCCTCGTGTTTCACCTGTGGTCACGTGAGGACCCGGCAGGGGGTGCCATCTGTGACCCTCCAAAGGTCTCCCCAGAACCTGAGCCCACTAGGACGCAGCCCTGGGGCCACAGCCTCCAGCACCAGGAGGCGTCAGGGTCTGACCGGTCCCCCCCCACGGGGGGGCGCAGGGCTCCCGAGGAGCGGGCAGTGAGGCCCAGCAGGACCCGTGCCTGGCGCGTCCCCAAGCGGGCACGCCCCCCAGGGCTGGGCGACACACTGTGGCCGGAGCCGCGGGGACCGGTCCCAAGATGCCGTGGGCCCTGCCGGGACAGGCCACTCACCTGCTGCAGACAAAGGAGCAGGGACAGCGCGTTGCGAAGCCTGTCGTTCTGCCTCGTCCGGGTCATGGTCTCCTTGATGATGTCCCCAAAGTGATGGTAATGCTGCGAGTGGGAGGAAAGGACCATCACCACGGAGACGACAGACGCACCAACCCCTCCTATGCCGCCTTCCCAAGCTGCAGACTATGGACAGACACGCGGCTCAGACCCAGTGTCTGTGTCCCGGGAAGTTCGCACAGGGGGATCCCGCCGAGCGCTCAGCACCAGCCAGGGCCGGGGGCCGGGTCCTGGGCTGGCGGGGAGGGCACATCCCATGGACCTGGGAAAGCTGGGGCCATCAGGCTTCCCAGACCAGGGCCCGGCTGTGCCCCCAGCACTGGCTGGCCCTGTCCCTCAGGGGCACTCCTTCCACAGGGAGGGCAGGCGCCCTGGGGAGCCACGGGCCGGGAGCCAGGAAGCCGAGCCTCTCAGAGCCACGCCGACCCGCCCCGGCCAGTGTGGAAGCAGCCCAAACCCAAACGTGCGACAACAGCGGCCACCGACACGGCCCCCAGGACACAGGGAGGCTCAGGACGTTAAGAGGTTAAGTCTCAGGAGAGGAGAGTGCCGCCCAAAACACAGGAGGCAAGGGAAAACCCAGGCCAGACTGTCCTTACACCCCACGCCATAGAGCTCAGGACCATGTGAGCTTAAAACAGGGAAAAGAGAATCACCGCCACATAAACAAAACTCAGAATGAAAAAGTCATCAAAGGAACATTTTTCCCACAAATAACAAAGAGCCAATGTCTCCATCTAATTACAAGACGCCAAAAGAAGATCTTGAAATGACAATTTCTGCGAATGTGACAGTGACTGAATCCACCCATCCATCCATCCACTACCCACCTGTTCACTCATCCATCCATCCATCCACCTGTGCCACGGATCCATCCACCTACCCATCCACTCATCCACCCACCCATTTATCCATCCATCTAGCTATCCGACCAACCACCTATCCACCCATCCAGTTATCTGTTTATCTGCACACCCATCCATCCACCCACCCACCCATTTATGCATTCATCTACCCATCCATCCATCCACCCACCCACCCATTCATTCATCCATCCACCCATATATCTACCCATTTATCCATCCATCTAGCTATCCAACCAACCACCTATCCACCAATCTAGTTATCTGTTTATCTGCACACCCAGCCATGTACCCGTCCACTCATCCACCCATCATTCACCCATCCACCCATGTATCCATTCATCTACCCAACTGTCTATCCACCTGCCCATCCATCCACCCACCCATCCATCCACCCACCCACCCATCCATCCATCCATCCATCCATCCATCCATCCATCCATCCATCCACCCATCCATCCATCCATCCACCCACCCACCCATCCA